AGAGAGAGAGAGAGAATAAGAGAGGGAGAGAGAGAGAGCGCAAGAATTTGTGACTATGGCGTACACTGAGGCATGAAGGTGCCTTTTTGCCCCCATCCAGCGTCTCCGGTTTTACAAAGCAGATTTAAGGAAAATGTTTCCTCTTTGGCTGATATATTGAAATCACTTATGTCCTAATATTGGGGTAGTTATTATTCAAAAGGTGTGAAGAGAGAAAAATGAGCATGCATGATATGTATTCAGTCTGTACCAAAGAGACTTGATGAGAGAAACACAGCAATGCATCAAATTTGAATGTGAAGATGAAATGCAGGGAGGTGATGGGCAGGAACTGCCTCATCCAAGACATTTTCATTTTGGATAACATTTTGACACAGAGAGCCTGTGTGTGAGACAGATAGACAGATACAGAGAAAATGCTTGACTAGTCATACAGACAGAGATGGGATGTGTTTGTAAAATTGAGAACCCTTAAACACCATCAACTCTTTTGGAAATGTATGACAGTCTAACTTTCTTTTTCTCTGTGTGACACCAACGCTCAACTTGTGGGATAGAGCTGGCGTTTGTAGCATTTTTATTGCCTGAAGAAAGATCATGAAACAATACCTCTAAAGGATGTCTTCCAAGACAGTTTTAACGTGCATCTGGTTCATAAATGTGACATGTCAAAGTCTCATCCAAAGTACAAGTTGATGAGTACAAATATATTTACACACCAATAATTAAAATGAAATGCCATCCCTGCCAAGATATATATAATGTAAAGACTGGGATATCAAGACCCTCCAATGCATATATGTACTGCAATTGCAAGGCTACTATTATCAATATGTCAGATTATTTGAAAAGGTTGGGCTAGCAAGTCACAATGTACAAAAGCCTCTGATCTGAAAAAACATTCATATAATTATTCTCAACCAGGACTATCTTCACATGAATCACATTATAATTAATTAAATTCCTAATTTTCCCTGGAAACAGCTCAAGGACCCTTGAACCCCTGTAACAGCCACTGTAACCATTAGTGTGAGTCTACTGTAACTCATTATGCAAAGCAGGGCCATAGAAATTCACAAAGAAATATTACATGGAAAGAGTAATATGAAAGTAGAACTCATTACAAAGTCTCAGTGGTATTTTCTATTATAAAAATCATGGCCCACTGAAGAAACTTGGTGTAAACTATTTTTCATATGTTCCTGAACAGTGACTGGGATTTGCGAATTAGGCGAAGTTAATAAAAACAATGATTTGGAAAATGTGGGAAAGAAAACAGGATATAACATGTCAGAATCAGCTTCACACATATATGTGTTTTGATACCATATGATGTTTATTAAAACAACAAAGGCCATGAGGACATTTGATTCAATCTAAACGATTAACTAAATGTTCACGAATGTATACAGTAGCTTTAATGAAACTGTCCTGGTGTGTTTTAAACTACAATAAAATGTAAATCTGTGGAAATTTCTACTGTCAAGACAACCTGCCTCATGTAATAATGCCGTTAGATCTTAACCTCGCTGTGGTCTTATTTCAAAAACATTTTATTACTAGTTGACACAAACATGTTTTCTGCCTCTTGTTATTTTTAGAAATCTAAAATTTCACCTTTGAAACGCAACCATATAAAGCGTGACCTTTAATTAAAGAGAAGAGCATGAAAGGATTTCTCACATAGTGTTCCAACAGAGGTGTCATCTTACTGTGTAAAGAATGACAGGTCTAAACAAAAACACTTTTTTTGAATGTGAGAAAATAAAACCGCTGGTTGGCCATGAACTTGAACAGAATAATCTGTGGCTGCTGTGTATAATGTATAATAAGTCTGAACTTGTACATCGGACTTTTATATAAAATGAGGAATATCAGTTCTAAATGTAGTTTTATTCTCTGCTTTCAAAAATGTCCCCATGCTTCTTCTTTGACTCTAGTTGCACTGGTATAGCACCAAATATTGTGTGATGGTATAGCCTGCATTATAAGAAATGCTGAAAAATTACATATTGATATTTGCATTACAATTTTGTTTAGATCAAAATGATCAGTCAAGGACACAGATGGTCAGCCAGGGAGTATAGGGAGCGGTCCAACCAATTTCATACCTACTGCTGCCTACTCAGAGTGCATAACAATTCCGCTGAGCCGGCTCTATTTGACATTGTGGATGTGTCATGTTCATAGGGATGGCTTCTTTTGGATCAGCCTGATGCAGCACTCGCAGACTTCAGTGGAGCCTCACATCCACCTGAAAAAAAAAAAGAGTCATGCAAGCACTTTTGCTAACAGTGAAAATTCCTCAACTGCTTAGCTCTCCTGTAGCTGTAAAAGCAGATGTGACTGCTGTAGTTGTTCAATGTGTAGCCAAAATGTAAAAGTCCTACTAACTTGTCCTTGCATAGCCTACATATAGCATTTAAATATCAGGTCAAAGCTGGGCCCTGAAAACAGATTTTCAGTTGGTTTTCACTACACATACGCAAAAAATTATTACAGCCAGATAGAAGCAGTCAAGAAACATTTATCCGGTCCCATTTGTATTGTTTTTTGTCATAGTGCCATTCACATTTTACATTTCTCCAAGTAAACAACGGGTTTATCCAGCCTATTAAATAAAACTAATGGCTAAAAAAAAGAAAGAGAGAAAAGAAAATGGATAAAAAGCAAGACTTTATCTGCTCCTAAAATGAAAGCTTCATTTACAGTTAATTAAAAAAATGTCTGCTTCTGTGGTTTCTTGCTTTGGAAAAATTGTTTCTGTTACTTAATATTGATTGAAATGTACCAGGGCAGATGATCGGCTTATTTTTTTTTTTAAGAAAATCACTCCTTTTTTAAAGTTTAATTAAATCATGGAACCTTGAATATTATTTATGAGAAAAACAAAGAAACACAAACTGCAAGTAATCGTTAAACCTGTGGTAAACTCCAGGCAAAAACAGAACATTTAACTACAAATTCATTTCATTACTGTGAATTTGTGGTGAACTTGTAAGGAGGTTTTATTGTAAGGATGATGCCAAGGGCAAACAAACAAACACAAAACTACCAGATACAAATCTATCTTAATGGATAGTTTTGCTGTTTTTTCCAACTCAAACTCTACTGAACATAGACCCTCATTAAATATTTTGTGCTGCTGATTCCCCATGGATTAAAAAATGTTATTCTTGACATCAATATGTGCAGGGCTTTCAAAATATATAATCATGTAAATATCAGTGGTTGAGTTTGAAAAGCTAACAAGTATAAAGTGGGAAAATACACATAATCATGTAGTTTCATTTAGTATTTTCAAACTTTAAATTTTATATTCTCAGTTTTTTTTTCAGTTTCATCCAATTGGACATTACTTTGATGTTCTTACCCAAAGAGTGACTGTGAGGATGCTTACAAATAAATGCTCCATCTCACAAAAAACCTTTTGCATTAAAATAGAAATAATAATTGCAAAGTAATTTGCCAAATCTGTCAGAAACAAGTCGGATTTAGTTGGAAACAATCAATAACATGATTTTATTCATCAGCATGTATTACTGAACATGAGTCGTAACCACTGAAAAGCCTCACGGGAGCTGTAGTTCTGAATCAGTTTGGCAATTATGCCGACACATAAAACCCCACATGTCTTGTTTCAGCTTTTCATCATGAAAAAAATTTTAAATTGATGTTTTATGCACCTTATAATATAAGTCACGGTTGCAACCCGCCATAAAACTAAAAGAAGAAGAAAAAGTAAGTAAGGATGTTCAAACTAACCCGGAAGTCAGGCTGTAGCGCTACGTCATCACGCAGCACGTTTGTTTTCGGTGGACGGCGAGCGGCAGGGCGCTACTGAAGTTGCTGTGAAGTGAAGTGTCTCGGTGCAGAAGTAGCTTTTACACTGTGCACAGGCGAACAAACAGGGTGAGGATGTTTTTACTTTATGTTTTTACTTTACACATCTGCTCAGTGTCAATGTAAACCGTGAAGATTACAGCTGGAGCTAACAACAGTAGCTGTTTAGCTATCGTTAGCCTCAGCATGACAGCGACTTCCCCCGTAGCTGAGCATCTCCTCTGCGAAGCTTTATTCTTTCTCTGCCCGCTGGACAGTAATTACATCATCGATCTTCTCTCTGCACATGGTGGGATGTGGATTTTTATTGAGGACACAGATCTTCTGGCGTTTGCTTTCTTTACTCAGCTGCTAACAATATGCTGTATCAGAGTCTGGAAATCTCAATATAACTTGTTGGAGTCGTATGACATCTACGTTTATTTGAGATCTATATGTCGTCTGAAAATGCACAATAGACTTATCTGAAGGATACAGCACAGAGCAGTCCTCTTAATATTAAACATTAGACAGCTCACTGGAGAGGTTTGAGATTTACACTCATGCAATCTAGTGTCATATGTAGATCATTGCATAACAAACCCACACCAATTAATTGTTATTATATAATTATTATTAGTGGATATGGATATTTTTTCTTTGTCATATATGACAGTAAACTGATATGATAGTACGTCTTGGGCTCTGTGAAATCTTTGTTATTTTCTGCCAACATTACAGATCAAATCATTGATTCATCGAGAAAATAATTGGCAGAATAATCAGTAATGAAAATACTGTTTAGCTTCCACGCTATAAATAATCATTATGTACCATCTCCTGTGTCTTTTTCTTCCCCAGGATTAACAAAATGTCTTCTGCTGAGCCCATTATCAGATCGAGACAGACAGAGAAAGACGTCAATGGAATTTCAACACAGGTCATCTGTACAGAGTTCAGCAATTACATATTCGTAGTTCTCACTCAGTACGGCAAAATCGGAACATTGATATCTGTCACACCTGACTCCAGATCTAATGATATCAGCACCCCGACGTTCTCCACCAAAGTACTGCTGGGCAAAGATGAGGTATGCAGGATGAAACTGTTGAAATAAATATTATATTGGTGTGATATAGACTTGTTCACAGGACATCAGACAAGTCTTGTTGCAAACATTTCATGCTGTGAAAGGGCAGATGAGATTGGCTCCGTAACTGCTGTGGTAGATAGGAAGAAAAAAAGTAAAGTAAAGTTTACATATGTAATTTTTTAACTGGCATACAGTGCCAGACATAGATCGTCCATTGAAAAATGGATTATAATTATGTTTGCTTGTGACGTTGACAAGACATACAGTTGCATTTAGTCCCCCCCCGCCCCTCTTCTGGTAATTTTGAATAGATAATACTTGAACTTTGTTTTAGAGTCAGGGACTGATGCAGTGTTGAAGCACTGTCGCACAGACTGAATGAATGACCATGACTGTTGTGTAATGTAATTAAGCTTTATGTCAACAGCCGAGTTTTCATCTCTGTTATTGTCAAGATTACACAGCAGCCCGATAACCTGCTACAACCACATCAGGGTTTCATTAAAATAGAATCAAGTCATATTGCAAATGCTGCGTACTTTGGGAGAACTTCACAAAAATGAATTACCTTTCTCATGATATGGCTGGAATATGGCCCAATCAATAATGCTCCATGGAGGTAACAGCAAGATATAACTGTTAACAACATACGCCGTGGCAACAGCACAGTGTGAGCTGATAAATATAAAACCTCACAGTACATGTACAGAAAAAAACATGTTTATAAAGGATGAAGACTGATTTGTGTTTAAAATGTAAAAGAATATGATTGATGTACATGATATCACATATAGATTAAAGGGGTAGGGTTGTGTGTATGAAAAGTGCTAGAGCTGTAATATCTTCATTCCATCATTGAGGTTTTACAGGCCCAGGCCTTTGCACATTTTAAAAGGACCATAGAAGCCATTTATTTTCTGACAGACATGTTACATTACAATATTTCTATGTGTTATAATCTAATGCCTGAATTGTGCTTCTTTTTTTAGCCACTGACACATGTCTGTGCCAAAAACCTGGCAACGTTTGTGTCGCAAGAAGCCAGCAACAGGCCCATATTACTGGGACTAGCACTCAAGGATTCCTCCATAGATGCAATAAAACAAATGAAAGAGATAATCAAAAGTTGTCAAGTCTGGTAGGACGTCAACAAGATGGACATGAAGCCTGAAGGCTTAATGCAAAACAGACATTCTGGATGCCCCCAATGTCACCTTATTCTTCTTCTGTCTTTTTAGTGAAATTATTTTACTGTTTACTAAAATGCCAATCTGTGACTAAAAGAACCCAGAGGCTTGTGCCCCAAGACAGAAATGTATAAATCCAATTTCATTTACTCTGATCCTTTTGATTTGTTGAGACAGTAAAAAATGTCTTCTGGAAAACATAATTTAGACGTTATCTGGTTGTAAATAAGGATTTTCTGGAAGGCAGTGTGCTCTCAAAAACTGATGAATGTGCATTGAACCCGTTATAGCTTGCAGAATAATGGCCAATAGCTCCAGTTTCATCACCACACAAAATCTGTATTCAACTTATCCTTTGTTTTGTAATTTGTAATACTCAATACTGTCTGTTTGTTTGTATTTTTGAATATTCTAAATTGTTTCATGAAGAGAATTTAAAAATAAAAGTGGTCACTTCTAAAACTTGTCTTTTTTCTGTCTTTGAAAAAAAATGCAACTCAATTATCTCTGCCCCAGTGGATAGCAGTTTAGGCACTGGACAAATATGTTAAGCATCACAAACATTCCCATCAAACGAGGAAATTGGGCTTGGCCTTTTCTAATATTTGTAGCTTTTTCCTGCTTTAAAAAAATCCATTATAGCTGTGTTAATAGAGTTACACAAATGCTGTTAAGTAGTGTTGTAGTCATTTTGTTCTGTACTAGCAGTGTTTTGCTGCAGATCCAAACAGAAAACATTACAGCAATAATCAGTTTTTATTATTTCAGAATTGGCAACTGCGATTAATGCTCTATTTTTTTTTTTTTAATTTGTAATATATGGGACAAATTTGGAATCATTTAGGTGAGGTTGGTTATAATAGTGGCCTTTGGAAAGTTGTTCCAAGTTGTTGTTTGTGTCTCATATGTTGTCTTGTAACACCAAGCTATTAAAGCATTGATATACAGAATAACATGCGTATATGCACCTATTATGAATCTTACATTCCACATTTAACTGTGCTGGAGAGGTGTTGATTCAACTTTATGCAGAAGAGGAGAAAGCAATCAGATATCTAAAGTAGAAGCAGCAAAGTGTAGAAATACTCTGTTACAAGTAAAAGTCATGAATTCAAGATTTTATTTAAAAGTACATTAGCATCAACTATACTTAAAATAACAAAAGTAGAAATACTAATTCCATAAGTGTAAGTAAATTGAATAATGTTCAAATATTTAGATACGTTAGTTTTACTGTAGGCTATACCTAATCTTCGCAGCATAAAGGCAACGTGATGACGAAATACGTGCATCGGTCAACACGTGATCCGTTCACCTGTGCTCAACCTGTTTATCTGTGCTGCTCCTCCGACTCGTCGGTAAGGGATAAATTCCAGTCACCGTCGTTTACACTGAAAGTTTCGTCTTTTCACTGGGTTCACAGAGTTAAACGCTCAGCATACCCTCTCACAGGATTTGTATGTTTTTTTGTTGAAGGTTTTGTTTGAGTTATTTCACTCGCCGACTGCCTGGACTTCGACCTCGGTCAGCTACCTGTTTCAAACAAGGAAGTCCAGCCTGTTCAACCCAACGTTGATGAAGCCGACGGGTCGTTTGTTAATAGTAGTAAATGAGCTCGGTTGGTTCTGAAAGGCGGGTTTATTCGGTAACATTGGCTTGTGACAATCCTGGGCTGTTTGTGGACAGTACCATCTAAACAGGATAAAGCTGCTTCCACCCTCCCTGGCACAAGGTGAGCTGTTTGTTGACGCTAAAGAAGCTTCTTATCATGACGCTGATCATTTGAACACAGTAGGACTGTCTGTCACTTTCCTATACAAAAGTATATGTTCTATTTAATGTATGTTTTAGTATAATAACAACAATAATATCTAGTTAGTTTTGTTTTTTGCCCAACAGGCAGCACTGAACCCACAGGCGAGGTGTTATTACATTTTACACTGACTTTCTGCCTACACTGACTTTTTTTATTCTCTGTCTGTTTCAGATGAACATTTCTTTGGAAGACATGGATTTATCAACTGAAAATAATTCCATTGTTCACCTGGCTGCACCAATTATTCCAGACAAGTCAGACTTTTCCAATATGACACTTATTCGAACCAGGAATGGCTCAATCATAGAGGACCAGATGTTTTTAAACACTCTGGCTGCTCAGGGCCTCTCCGGGATATTTGTCTGGTCCGCCTTGCTCATAACATGCCACCAGGTGAGTTTGTGTCATTTCACAGGAGCCCCAGACAAGAATATGTCTATGCGCCCATGCTATAGGAAACTTAAATCACTGCGTCACAAAAGCAGCAGTAGTGAGTAATACAGCCTCAAAGCATTGTGCACTCAGTGGAGTGGTTAGAGTCTGACAGATTGTACCTCCCTTGCCAGAGGACAGAAACAAGCTCTTATATCCGTAAAGGATTATTACCTTACAGTACTCAGTCTACTTATCTAGTCATAAAGTATTTCTATCTTTTCAGGCAGGTCTTATTCTTTCTACTTTATGCTTGCACTGCCCCACTGCACTGTGGGAAAGTTTTCCTTACTGTATAATTGATAGTTACTATCAAACAAAGATGGAGGAAAATCTTTTAGCTGGTTAAAGGACAATGGATACACATTGAGCTCTCTCTGTGTGGGGGTAAATGATGGTCAGGAAGATTAATGCAGCCTGCGTTTACCCTGAAACCGTTTCATTACTGCTGTAAATGAGTGTTTCCTCTTGAGTTACCCACTGTGTGCTGATGATGGCTTATCATTACAGTTTTATTATTTGCAGAGAATGCGGTAGGGTGCAGTGTATTATCAACAGGGAAATCAATTGATATTGAGATAACATTTAAAGCATCATAAAGGATGAGGGTGTTGTTTTCTTGCTTGCTTTTTTTTTAATGCTGTGCAGCCGTAACAGTTGCCAGATTTATTTGACTGAATATGGATCCATCCTGAGGCTTTAAGTCGTATGCTTTGATTATATTCATGATAACATGCATATGGTCATAACCGTATGTGTTATTTGGTGTAATTAATTAAATATAAAATATCCTCAAAAAGCATCAAAATGATGCATCCTGTGATCCAAAAACAATCCTTGTTTAGGGATTTGTGTCTCAATATCTAGCAAATTGGTTTCTATCTTTTTAATATAGTACTTGTTTGGCCAAACACTTGCCAGCAAGACATTTTAATTGAACAAATAAATAGCAAGTGTACCACAGGGAGAGTGGAGCAGGTTTGCAACTGGCATACCGTCTGTCACACAGGGAGAATAAAATGGTCTGCAGGACTAGTGTTGCAATGCTGGTGGTGTTTCATCTGACTTGGCTCTGGAGGATTGCTATAGACTGTTAAACTCACATTCTGAATACTAAACACAGATAGACAATGACCTTAGATCCTCTTTGCTGTAAAGTCGCCAATGCTTTTCGGCTGGTAATCGGTGGAGTGTGGCTCATTTTTCTCGGTGGGCTTATTGGTCCCTTTGCAACTTGGAGCATTTGGGATTAAGAGGAGCAGACTTGTACTTACCCTGTGCTGTATGACTGTGTCATGTTTGGCACATGTCCAGAACATGTCCCTCTCATTTGCTATTAATTTTTTTTTTTTTTTTCAATTTTGCTTCAGGTTGTATATATGTTTTCAAAAATGTGGGCAGTGATTGTAGAAATAAGGTTTTCTTCAGCTTGAAGCCATTAAACACCATCTATGAATCAACAATGAATTAATGTCAGGTCAGCGTTATGGTGTCAGGAAGGACATAGGTTTTACTGGCTTTTCAGGCAAATGGAGGACATCAGTCTACACTCTGCTTCCCTTCATGTGTAGAGATGGGCATATGAATCACACCCCACCCTCACAGTAATCAGGCTTTAATGCGCAGCCTCTAATGGGCCTTTAATCAAGCTGAATGTGTCGACAAGAGTGAGACTCTAGATGTTGTTTTGCTTGCTCCTACAAATGGAGGGTTTTAAAATTGAGAAATTTGATAATTTGCTGCTTATATATGCTTATATATGCTCATATATGATTATAAATGGAATGTTTGACTGTTGGTCAAATAAAACAAGCAATTTGAATACATCATCTTTGGCTTTAAGAAATTATAGAGTGGAACTTTCACTCATTTCTAAAACTTTATAGACAAAATGATTAATCAAGAAAATTATCTACAGATTAATCGTTAGTGAAAATAGCTGTTGCAACCCTAAACTACTGTATGAGGTTATCAAAAAAATTACAAGTATACAATTGTAATTATAATAATAATACAATGGTATTCAAACAGGTAGAGATTTCAAAAGTTTAAAATGAATATTTCTCACTTAATATTTCTCACAGCACAGTAAAATGCAGTTGGACGCACCCATTACTTTTAACAGTACAAAGAGGTTGTATCTTTATTATTTGTTATTTGAAAGAAGTGATGAACTAGTGTTATGCAGAGAAAGTCCTTAGGATTTGCTTGCTGACCTGACCCAGCTGAAATTAAAATTAAGGCTGACACTAACAATACATTATATTGCAGATCAATCTGCTGATTATTTTCTCAATGAATCGATATTGATAAAATATTAGAAAATACCCATCACAATTACCTAAAGCTAATGTCTTCATAGTCTTGTTTCACCCAGCCAGCAGTCCAAAACCCAAAGATATTCAGTTTACAATCATGTAAGACAAAGAAAAGAAGGGAATCATCACATTTGAGAAACTGGAGGTCATGTGATCAATCGATTATCAGAATAGTTAATTTTCTATCGTTTCAGCAATGAGTTGATCGTCTGTTGAGGTATGATAGTGATTTTATGTTTGTTTTCTTGTTTTTCAGTTATTAGTCAGCAGTGGCTTGAACTTGGTGTGATTACTTGGATTGCCCCCTCGTAATCAATTAGTTGACAAATGGGTCATAAGCATCTTGGTTGACTCATTTTTTTAAATGGTCTTTTTATGAAGAATGAGTCATCAGTCACTTACTAGAAATGTCTGTGCCAACACAATAAGACTCAAAAACATGCTTTGATTTTTAATAAGCTCTACACTTTAATAGTTCTTTCTGCGTGAGTGCAGTCATCTGCAGAGGGACAATAATACTGGAGAAACAATTTGACAGATTTTCCCATTAAATCTACTAATTGTTTATTGAAGAGATCCTACCAGTATTAGTCATACTAGAATTCATTTACTTGAGGATATTATAAACTATAGACACATTTCAATACATTTGTTGGATCAGAGATGTTGCCTGGTAACAGCAGTTACCTTACACCTTTATTTTGCAACAGCTTTGTTTTTGATTTGTTAACATTGGTGAGATTAGCCGCCCTGCAGTCGCCTGCAAGCATTAACTAAGATTCACTTACACAATTGAAAATGTCTCCTTTTATTGACATACAGATCATGCCGTGTTGTATTTGCTTGAGATCAGAATAAGCCATCTCTTACCTCAGACTCACTACAGTGGCAAAAAACCCATTCATCATTTAGATGTGGCTCATGGATGTACAAACTGTTATACCAGGTGTTAGTTTTGTCATGTCTAATAACTAAAGGTCACTGAAAAGAATGATAATCAGATCGTGCCATATGCTGTGTGCACTACATTACCTTTATGGAGGCCTTGTGGAGGAAAATGGGAAGGTTGTGTGTATATATGTGTGTTTAAGATGTTTATCAGCTCAGTTTATTTACTGATCTTATTGTCCACTTCTGTATCTGAAGTTAAAGCTGTTCAATATGATGTGAGACCAGTAAGATTAGAGCTTCACTGTCTTGGAAGGTCATTAAAGTGAGAGTTGGGTGATTTTTTTTCTTTATTCTAGTCAACTCTGCTGCTGCATAGGCAGACCTTTACACTGACAGAGCAGTTGGTGCCAGATAAAATGTAGCTATAGATAATATCCAGAAAAAGAACATATATGATTGCTCAGGTGGTTGATAAATCACGTTGATGACACCCTCGTGGTTTATATTGCTTAAGTGTCAATGCTATAGGAAATTTACTGATAATTTTTCTTTTACAAAGGGTGTCTGATAAACTGTAAGTGTTCATACCAAAACCTGCAAATCACAAAGCCATAATTTAATTTAATCATAACAAATTGCAGTCATATTTGATTTATAATTTGTGAAACGTATTACACACAGATGCAGACTGTCAAGTTTTTTTTGATAATCTGATAATCAGTTAACCTATAGGGACATTTTCAACCAAAATGAAAATATTCTCTTGATTCATCTCTCAAAATGGAAGATTTCTGCTTTATATCTGTGTTAAATTAGTGTAAATGTAATATATTTGGGTTTTAAATGGTGGGTCAGATAAAAAAAAAGAAAACTAGGTTGAAAATATAACCCTAGGCTCTGAGAAATTAAAATGGAAATTTTTTTTTTAACAATGATCTGCTGTTTCACTGCTACATGCAACAAATAATTGATTAATCCCAAAAAAACCCTGTAGATTAAATCAATAATGCAAATAATCATTAGGTGCAGCCCTATTAAAGTTCACTTTTGATATGCGTTGCATATGTTGTTACATATTTTTGTCAAAGCAGAGTTTATTTTCCATGTCAATGTCCATGGGAAATATAGCCTACATTTGACGGGGTTTTCACATGTAGGGTACAGTATATCAAGTTTCCCAGTTATTTAAATTATAACTTTGTTCTATGAATCTGCAACAATGCTCACCAAGATCAGAGAATTAGCATTTTCTTGTTAACTAATGTTTTTCATATTTTCATGGTATTTTCATTGTAGATCTATACACACCTTCGATCCTACACGGTTCCCAATGAGCAGCGCTACATCATCCGCATCCTGTTTATCGTGCCAGTCTATGCCTTTGATTCTTGGCTCAGCCTGCTCTTCATCAGCAACGACCAGTACTATGTCTACTTTGACTCTATTCGAGACTGCTACGAAGGTAGGTAGCACAAGCCCTCTCCCAGGAAAGACAAGAAACTGGCCCAACTGGTTTATTTGCACCACTTATTGTTGTCATGTTGGTAGACCTCATTATTTAAGGTGTTTCCTTTCTGTGAGGAGTAATTTTAGGAGCATCCCTTTTTGTGCACTGGTCTAAAGTGTTTGCTGATGAAACAAACAAACTAGTCTATTTTTTGAGTAGAATAATTTCTAAAAATGTTTTTTAAATGTGGGTGTAATTCTGCATAAATATTACAGAATCCCTCTTCTGTAGATTAAAGTTGAATTCCCTTTATACATTGTAACTGTAATTATATTAAGTTTTAAAACCAAAGCACTTCACCAATGGCAAAGGTGAATCATATGCAAAATGGATTACAAGTAATTTGAGAAAGGGAAAAGTAAGAAATACATTATTCAAGAGATTAGTTTCCAGTTTGCAGGCCAATTTTATGGCTGATTGATAGTGCAGTGCATCAGAAAGCAGGGAGACTGGAATACCACCAGCGGCTACGGCTAAAACATAATGAACCTTCTCTTGACTGGACACCATCTGCATTAGCTTCATTTAATCCCTCCTTAAATAGCAACAAAGGATTAGGAAGGGATTTCCAAGACACAGAACCCTTGGAAGCTTCTTAATGTAAGGACTGAAACATTTATTGTTCCAAAATGTAGGACTAATTATTTTTTATCACGTGGATGTTGTCTCCTCAAAAATAATTTGACCTTTTTGAAATGAAGTTATACTTGAAGGTGATGGGAAATTATTCTACAGTTCAAATCTTGTATGGTACAGGGTTTAAAGAAGTAACTCTTCTCTTTCTGTTACAGCATTTGTCATTTACAATTTCCTGAGCCTGTCCTTTGAGTATCTAGGAGGAGAGAGTGCAATCATGTCAGAGATTCGAGGGAAGCCCATACAGTAAGTACTATCATTCAATTCTCTATTCAGTTGTGGCATACATGTATATTAAAAAAAAGCTAGGAGAGTTGGGATCGGTATCCTTAGTGGGTGGATGAAGCCTCAAAAGCTAGATCTTAGATCATGTGGCTTTTCCAGTAGGTGAGAAACATGTGATCATAGTCCAGTTCCACTCTTCCCTTCCTCCCCAGCTGCTTTTAACATGCTTACCAGAGATCAGACATGCAGAGCAAACATTCTGAATGACTTGAATGTCACAGGTGATGTTAAGATAGTCTCTAAGCTCAGCAATATGCTGAAGAGCCAGCTGGTGTGGTTGCCCTTATTGCTGGTTTAAGGATGCCATGTTGCCTGTGAAAGCGTAATGAGAATTGTTGTTAGAATCAGCAATGGGCAGAGCTTCTTCTAGTTTCAAATGATCCACTAATATCTGGAATTTAAAGCTTTCTGTGGCGTCTCTAGGCAGTTAGTTTCCCTGCTGTCTCTATGCTGGATTCATGTTTCATTTACATCACCTTCTCTTCAGAACAAACTATATATTTTTTTCTTTATGTCTACGATCACAAAAGGGGCAAGGTGCATCTTGCTTCCTTGAGTTAGTACTTAGTGTGAACGACACAGTGAGAGAGCAGGCAATAAACAGTTATCCTTTATCTCAGAGCTTTTGACCAGCCTTAGATAGGCTGTGTTTTATGGCTGACTCAGCCACAGGGCAGCAGCTCTTTGCCAGCTTCTGACAGTGGAGACACTAATGTTGAGCCCTGATAAATGATGGCATTGCTAAACACCAGCCATTGGAAACCAACAATAAATCCTACATGTTGTTTTTTAAAAATCCCTGCTCTGCCATGCTGTAACACGTCCTTAAGGATATCCTTAGACATCCAATATTTTCTTCCTTAAACCAGTGAGAACTCCACATTTCCAGGAAATCATTTTATATTGTATATATATTATTATTATATTATATTGTATTCTTCCACTGGCTTCCCTCACTCCCTGCCTTCAAAACACACAACTGACTTACACTAATAATACAATAAACAATGTAATTATATATGCTGCAACCAGAACTTCAAGAAAAGTCTAATCTTTTGTCAATTTTGTCAGTGTTGTCAGACCAGTCCTGTCTGTTTTGTTGTAGCCCAAGGATATTAGGTCAATCTGCAAAAGACACCAACACCTTTATATCCACTGTCTCACATACAACTTTGATCTACTCTATGTTATATATTAGGCATGCTAAACAACAGCGATATTTATGTATTATTAAGGCTTATAATACCAGTATTCCGAATAACAAATGAATCAAAATAAAGTTTATTGTTTGTGCATCAGAAATGTTCAATAACTGCACACAATATGGTGTAAGCAGCTTGTATTTCAGTTTACATCATTGGCTTTTGTGTATTCCAAAAAAAAACTTTCAATACATTGCAGTGAAATGTAGCACCACCCAGAAGAACAACTGATTAAACATACAATAAACTAAAGCAGTAATGTCAGCTCGGACTGCAACTAACAATTATTTTCATTATTGATTAATCTGCCCATTATTTTCTTGATTTATTGAATTTGTTTGTTTTTGTCTATAAAAGTCAGAAAATAACAAATAATGCCCATTACAGTTTCTCACAGCCCAGTGTGGTGCCTTCAAATGTTTTTGATGAATTGTTTCTTTCTTTCTGTCATCAACTAATTGTTATTAGCTTTAATGTCAACAAAAACGGAACATTTGATTCATTCACTGTTTCCTGTTGTCTTCACAGGTCAAGTTGTCTGTATGGTACCTGCTGCCTCGTTGGAATGAGCTACTCCATCGGCTTTTTAAGATTCTGCAAACAGGTGAGCTTCCATCATCCCCTTAACTCCCCTCTAGCAATGTTCTTTTCGACCACTGAAAATAAATGTACACACAATAAAAATAAGAATACATCAAGTTGTCTTAAAAAACAATACTGCGATGCAAATTACCATTCTGTCCAGATCTCCAGACTGCTTAAAAATGACAGCTGTTATAATTGGCTGTGTGCTTTTCAGAGGATAACATCCACTGGTTTAAAAAAAAAAATAGTGAAAACAAAGGCAATTGAGGCCAGGTGAAAGCAGCTTGATAATAAACACAGAGAGATGATATGAGCTGTCAGCGCAGAGCTCCCTTCCAGTGTCTTGGGATGCTACACAAGCTCCCAGTCTAACGCTGATGGAAATTGGAACTGAGAGTTATGTCTTCAAAACAAAATACATTGTGAATTGAACTTTTTTTTTTTATAAGTGGCAGGTGATAAACACTCAATGTGCCTTCACAGGACTCGTACATGAAGTGTTTTAAAAGAACCTTACAAGTTCTCTCTGGTGGTATAACTGAAAAGAACCTTGGTTAGGGATATTTCTTTGTGAAGGATATTTGAAGACCTGGACAGTAGGTTTTAAAAAGAGAATAGCACATTGTGGCGTTGTTCTAAAACTCCCAACAATTTTGTAGGAGTTTACTGGGTTGTGTTGCAGGGTTGGCTTAGTAAGGACTTAGTTCTCTGCTTGTGAAATAGCCTCATTAACATTCATTCAACACCAGATTTCAGAAATCAATATATCAAACACTTCAGAAATTATTAATAGCTGTTTTGCAGGTCAGCTCCCGCATAGTGTGACCGAGTGACTAACTGGATTCAAAGTATCGATTAACTGCTGTCGTTCATATGAATTTATTCTAACTAGATTACAAAAACACTCGATTATATTGATCACATAATGTTGCCACAAGTGTGTTAGTTTTTGAAAGAAAACTTCAGGTGAGGTAAAGTGGAACCCTGGACTGTCAGACTCGTCACAGCTAAATACTAGAACTAGCAGATTG